GTCTACGGGCATTCTGACGTCACTGCCACCAGCACCCCAGCCTTTTGCTGGGGCAGGAGGGGGAGGCGATTCAGCCCACTGTGGACGGGGGTCTGAGCCCGCTGTCTGCCCAGAGGGCCCACTTCTGTGTTTCTTCAATTAATTCATCAAGTGTCTGCTGAGCACTGGTCACACGCCAGTTAGGTGTGAGATTTGGGGAGACAGGGGCTCAGCCTGGCCCTGGAGGAGCCCGGGGCCCAGTGGGAAAGCCAATTAGAGTCGTCCCTGAATGGGCTCCCGCAGGCCAGACATGATCTGGAGGAATGGCTGTGCCCTGGGCACAGGCCAAGCGCTCTGACTTCCCTGGGGAGACAGGGGCGTCTCCAAGGGGGAAGAATTGTCTGTTTCAGGCTCCAAACCAGCGGTTCTCAACCTGTGGGTCGCGACCCCTTTGGCGGTCAAACGACCCTTTCACAGGGGTCGCCTAAGACCATCCTGCATATCAGATATTTACATTACAATGCATAACAGTAGCAACATGACAGTTATGAAGCAGCAACGAAAATAATGTTATGGTTGGGTCACAATGTGAGGAACTGTATTTAAAGGGCCAGAAGGTTGAGAACCACTGCTCCAAACGATGCCCGAGGCTTTTCCACGTGCGTGCGTGGGAGAGGGAGGGCATTTCTGGCGGGAACAGCAGGAGCAAAGACAGAGGCAGAATGACAGCTACTTACACTTTTGGGGCTCTTCCTGTGTGCCAGGCACTGGGTGACGCCTCGCATTCAGTCCTCACCACCCGAGGAGGTAGGTAACTGGGGGGCAATGGAGGCGGAATGAAGTTGAGTAGCCCGCCTGGGTCGCACAGCAGTCTGACTCAGAGCCACAGGGTCCCCTGCGTCGAGGAGCTGCTCTGTTGGACCAACATGGGGAGGGAAGGGGATGGAGGGGAGACGGGGGGGGGAGAAGGGGACAAAGAGCATAGGGTCAGAGGTTAGGATGAGGTGCAGAGGCTCAGACAGACCCGCTTTATCCCATTCTCTCTCCCAAGGCCTCGGGGAGTGACGAGGCCTTTACCGGCTCTAGGAGGCTCTGGGATGGAAGTCAGGGAAGAAGAGGTGGCTGCGACTCCAGGCCCCCAGACCCACCTGAGTCATTAGGGATGAACCCCAGAGGGGATGGGGGACAGAAATTGATCTCCATTCAGTGCTTCCGATGTGACTCACTGGTCCTGCGGGAACACTATAAAATAAGCATTACTATTTGCTTGATTGGATGGGTGACACAGAGGCAGAGGGGTTGCGGTTCACGGTGGTGTTCTGTCTTGGGGGCCTGGCTCTGGAACCTAGGCTTTTACCAGGGGCCTGGTGCCAGGACAGCCCGTCTGCCCTTCCGTGGTGCCCTCGCCTTACCGCAGTTGCTCTGTGCAGCCGAGAAGACAGAGCCGCCTCCAGGCACCAAGGCGGAAGCCCTCTCTGACCCAGGCGTGGTGATGGGAATCTGGGTGTGGAGTTTCCGGGCACCTGAGCAGCCCTTTATCATTCAGCACCTGCCACGCGGTGGCTGGATCCCCTCAGAGAGAGGCTCTCCCTCCCGACATGACCTGGGAGCTGCTCTCAGGAGCCACAGGAGCAATAGGCGGGAAGGGACACAACTGGGGAAGGGCAGGTGCTCCTCGCAGCCTCCCTCACGCGGCCCTTGCCAACCTTGGCCGGCCGTGTGCTGGGAAGGCCCTGAGGCCAGTGGCCGCAGCCGGGCAGGGCATTTCCCTCCCCAAACAGCAGGTGGCAGCATTGCATATGTCTTCACCCCCAAATGGCAGCCTTTCCCCAGCTGTGACCGCAGAGCCACTAGGCACCTATGAGGGGCTCCCAGGAAGAGAATGTGGGGGCGACTCAGGAGGAAACCGGTGACTTTTCTCTGTAGCTGGTGAAAAGCGGAGCTAGGGTCCCTCTGGTTGTAAACGAGCTCTCCAGCTGAACTTGCTGCTAGCAGTCTGCGCCTATTTTTACAGGGAGCCTCCCAACAATTGATGAAATATGCTTCCCGGGGACAGGGAAATGCGGAATGGGAGTGCTGGAGGAAAGACCCCTTCCGTCCTTGCCCAGCGCCTCCGCCGTTTCTTGTAGGGAACGAGAGTGTGCTGTGGGGGCAGGCTGTCCCGAGTTCACATTCTGGCCCTTGGTTCATTTACAGGGTGACCATGGTGTGTGATGCCTCTTTATCGATCCCAGGCCCCTTGACTGCAAACCCGAATCAATGGCACATTATGCACTGTCATGGCACTGTGCACTTACACGTGAACGGTATGCTCCGTGCGGCTCACACCTGCCCGGAGCAGAGCTGGTACTCAGCAGTGGACGAGTTCCTTTCTCTCCCTTTGGAAAGGAGTGCTTCTCTTAAAAGCACAGGCCCCCCACAGGCTGGGCTTCAGCCAGGCCCAGCAGGACACGCACTTACCTTTCTCTCTTCCTTTCCAGAAGAGGCTGCTGCACTGGATAAAGCAAAAGTAGCGGCAAAGGGGAAGGAAAGAGT